ATATATATATATATATATATATATAGAGAGAGAGAGAGAGAGAGAGAGAGAGAGATACCAATCAGGCGAAAGCGGTATATATAGTAAAATATTCAAATGATTATGATTGAGTTTTCTGTTTTCCTACTTATGGGATTCTGAATATGAGACTGCTTTTTCTTTTTCCTTTTTTGCCCCCAATTTTATTCCTATATTTGAAATGCTGGAAAGTTAGGATGTGTGTGGTTTCATTGGATGCATTTTACTAAAATCAGATAGGCAATTTGTTGGTGTTTTAAATATTGTCGTGGGAAAGCCTTAAATAAATGACCAGTCCAGCCGCCTGTTTCATATTTCAAGCCGCCTTCAGATCACCACTGAGATTTTTCTGTTTGGTGCTTGTGAGATTTTTTTTGGTGTTTTAGGCACTGTATCAACATTGTTCCTTTTTTCTATCTCATTGTTGACCGAGTTGTACTTGCTTCATGTGTGAGTTCATGCATCCATGGAAGAGAGAAAACATGAAGCCGCCATTATTTCTCTTGATCACCTGAATGTGCATCACATGCATGAGTACATATGCACTTACATGGAGGAGTCTAAAATGCGTATATTCATTTCTTTGCACAAGTTTATGTGCCATAGTTAAAAGGCGCTTTTAAATATCTATTTGAAGCCCTTTCTCAAAAAAAATATCTATTTGAAATCCATTAGAAGTCTGAGTTTTTCAAAATCTCCAGAAAATTGAATTTTTTTTTAATGGAACCAATATAATTGCCTGCCCATTTATCCTTTTAGGTAAACTTTCTAAAGTAATTTCTTCCCTATTTTCATGTCCTTTAAAATTTAACCTCTCCTGGAACTTACATTTAAAATCTTCGATTTTGGTTTTGCAATAAACTTACTAAAGTAGAACTAAATTAAGAATTGTGATTCAACATAAACGTCGTCAGAAGTTTCACAAATGTATTCCCATACATATTTCTTTCCCTAAAGAAAACATTATTACCAAAAAAAGGAAAAATGACATCAATGTATTCTAAAAGAAAATGTTCTCCACTAAAACTATATTTGAAAATATAGTAGAGGTCAGGAAGAGTCACCCAATGAATACTTCTTTTCCTCTGAGCCCACAGCACACTGCAGAGAGTTAGAGCGAGTGATTCTGTTGGCTAGGTAGTGGATTAAGGTTCAACTATTCGGGTTTGCTGCTAGAACTTGTATGGTACAATTGAGGCTTCTATCACTTTCTCTTTGTACACGTAAATTTACTTAAATTTCAAATTTTTGTATTTTTTGTTCTTTCATTGGAGTACACGACACAACATTTTGGATGGATGACTGTGTCATATTTTTGAATTTTTGAGTTTTTGTTGGCTGCAATCCTATGTCTAGGTCCCTTTTCTTGTCAAACAAGAATCCTATACCTCAGGTTGTAGTTCTTGTTATTTGTTAATGTAATTGTTGGGTTTAGTATTGTTGTCGTTATTTCATTGTATGTTCCCCGATGAAATCATTGTATGTTTTGTGTCATGGCAATTTGTTAATGTAGTTATGCTTAGTATTATTGTTGTTATTTCATTGTATTCCCCCAATGAAATCATTGTACCTTTTGTGCCATGGCAGTGGAGGAAGCATACCATGTTGTTATGTCTAATGATAATTTAGACAAAAAATTTGACCCTAAATGTTTCCATTTCATGGCATGAATTTATTATTCAGCGACTTCATTCTATCTTTTTGATTTTTTATTTTGGAGAAATAATGGTTCTCTTTATTGCATCCTCACAATAAAATCATTGTGTGTTCCCTCTACAATTCACTTTATTTTGTCTTCTGTACATATCTAATTTTTTCACTCCATTTTTTTTAAGCCAAATCCGAAATAATAATGATTATTTAACTTACCTAATTTTTTTTAATTGTGTATTCTAAAACAGATTCTATTGATTTTTGGATATTATTATTCTCCACTTGCAAATTATGGTCTGTATGTGCTCTCTCCTCCCCCCAAAATAAAAAATAAAATAAAAATGTATCTATCTATCTATCTATCCAGGTGTGCATTTATGTGGTTAAAGAACTTAAAAAATAATATTAACTATTTGAAATGCATTGATTATCACTCTATCGTATTCTTGCTAACCAAGAGGGCATTTATACATTTTAACGTGTAATACAAGCTTCAGCAAATTTTTTTTTTTTTACTCCTGCACTTGTGATGTGAGTTGGTCTAAGCTGTTTAAGTTTGCTAGCTTTTCATTTGGCTGCAAGTGTCACTGCCATATCTAACTTGTATATTTCCTGTTTGAAGCAGCAAATAAAGCAGACTTCTTTTGATAATGCTGATATTCTGAGAGGAAGGAGCATGCTTGTAGCTGCCATTATGGACATTGTGACTTCAGACTGTGATAGTGGAGAAAAAGTATCCTTTCATCCACCCCTTTCGAAAACTGCAGATATGAGAGATATTGGTGCCGCCCTTCAAGTTGTTGAGGAAGGTGGAATGCGATTGGATGAGACACATGATGATGATGGAGACAAAGGAATGCGTGGTATCGGGATCAAAATTCTTGGGGGCACAACTGTAGTAGGTGTGTTGAGAACAGCAAACCTTTTGGAACCAGAATTATCTGACATCGACCACTTCAAAAAATTTCGAGATTCTTCTCAAACTCCCCATCTGCGAAAGAACTTCTCTGATTCACCTGAGGAAGGGGATTTATCTTCTCTTTCTGGTAAAGCATTGTGTCATCTGGGGTTTTCGACAAGGCGTGTTGAGTATCCTGGCCTATGGGATGATTTGCAAAGTCGACATGTTGCTGTCCCATTTGCTGCATGGGCCCTTGCCAATTGGGCTTCGGCCTCAGATATTAACCGGTCTCATATTCAAGAACTTGACAGAGATGGCAATGCAATTATGACTGCATTGAAGGCACCTGAGAGAACTGTGCGATGGCATGGTAGTTTGGTCGCTCGATTACTTTTAGAGGACTCGAATTTGCCTTTGGTTGATTCTGTTCCAGAATGGAGTTCCTGTTTTCTTTCTACAGCTTCTCAGGCTACTAAATCGCAGGACATTCCACTGGCTCAGATGGCTCTCTCTGCATTTCTAATTTCCATTGACAGAAGTAGCAAAGCAAAAGAAGTGGTGATGGAGAAAGGTCTTAATTTGATGAGGGATATTGCAAAGCAAACTGCAAAAAATAAGAATTTGCGGGAAAAACTGGCAAGGGCCTTGGAGCTGCTAAATACAGGTGATATGCACATGTCGCTTGAGGAGGGTCAGAAATGGTCTGGCATTCTTTTGCCTTGGGTTTTGGGAAAAGAGTTGTCAGATGGTGCACGGCTTTCAGTGACAAAAATCCTTTCGTGCATTCTTGAAGACTATGGGCCAGCTTCAATAGTAATTTCTCAAGCATGGTTAACCTTGTTGCTAAGTGAGGTTTTAGGTATGAGCAAGGCATCATTCACCAAAGGGATCCCTTCCCGAAAGGGTGGAGAAGTAAAGGTAGAGGTTCTTAGGCATTCACATCTATGTTCTGCTTGAATGATTTATTTCTGCTTGAATGATTTATGAGCAAGGCATCATTCACATCTACTTTAACTTTGGGAAGTTCTAATTTTTATAATGTGGTATTCTTCTTTGTCCATAATCCATAGTAGGTATTCCAGATCGTGTATCTTCTTTGATAATGAAAATGGATCATAGCTTACTAAATGTTCATGTCCTTTCTGGCAAGTAGACTTTATGCTCATAACGGTTGCCTTTATATAATGGACGTGGCACACCTTTTGCTTATCTCCCTGCCCATCTTTCATTTCTATCTTAATTTTGTGGAGGTATTGACCTGTTTAATGGGGCACACCTTTTACTTATCTCCCTACCCTTCGTTCATTTCTCTCTTAATTTTGTAGAGGTTTGACCTGTTAATTGGCAGACAAACTTTTGCACATGCTTCATTCTATAGTTGTTGGAAGCTGGAGCAGTAAGGAGAGATCATCACATGCTAAAAGGTCCATAGGTTGGGAACACATTTTGTACAGTTATTTAACTAATAAATAAACATTTTAAGAAATTCAAAATTTTATTGATATTTTAAAATCCAATAATTACCAAAACACAGTAAAGAATGGGCAAATAAAAATTGTATTAATTTATATATTCCTTTGAGGTGTAGTTTATGTAACAATAGCTGCACATAATACAATTAAAAAATACTATGATGAGTTACATCAAGGTAACTTATAACAATATAAAGGACGTGATTTTTTATTGATAAATCTGCTTTATTTACAGCATCACACTTTACAATCTCCAAATGTATGTCAAGCTGCTTTATTACAGTTTTACACTTCTTTTTTTTTTTTGTTTTGGGATAAAGGTTAATGCTCTACAATTTTACACTTCACAGCCTCTGAGAGAGAGAGAGAGAGAGAGAGAGAGAGAGAGAGATTTCAATTAATATCCCAAGTGTATCTACTTGGCTTCGAGAGAGAGAGAGTGATTTCGATTACTATCTAAGTGTATCTACTTGGCCTCTTCTTGCCCCTTCAAGTGTCTAGGAGTGATGCCCAAAACCGGGGATCAAGATCCCAAATTTTAAACATTGCGATCGTACAGGGATCCCTTTCCTGGTGTGTCAACATTAGATCCCGGAGCGGGATCAGCACCTAGGTTGGGAGCTTGGTAACTATGCTTCATTCTTTCAAAAATCTAAGCTGTTGATGGATGTTGGACCAAGTTGGTGTTTTAATTTAAAATTTATGTTAACTGAAGTCTTTCTGTCTTTATGATTCTCACATGATACGATGGATTAAAGGAGTGGTATTTGAGGTGGGAAGGTAGGCAGGTAGTCTGTAGGTAGGTTAAAGAGGATGAGGGAGTTTAAAGAGATGGTTTTCTGTTTGACCCTGACAAGGGCCCTTCTCTAGTTTGTTTCCTGGTTTCTAGCTCCTAATTTTTGGTTTGGGAGATCTTGGTAACTATGCTTCATTCTTTAAAAAATCTAAGCTGTTCATGGATGTTGGTGTGTTTGAATTTGAAATTTATGCAAGTAAAGTCTTTCTGTCTTTGTGATTCTCACATGATATGATGGATTAAAGGAGTGCTATTTGAGGTGGGGAGGTGGGCAGGTAGGTAAGTAGGTAGGTTAAAGAGGAGGGAGTTTAAAGAGATGGTTTTCAGTTTGACAAGGGCCCTTCTCTTGTTTGTTTCCTAGTTTCTAGCTTTAATTTTTGGTTTGGTTTTAAGAGTCTTGGGAGACCGTAACATTCATTCTTATGGATCTTTTTTAGGACATATATAACTAGGAGCGAAAAGTTCAAGGAATAGTTATTAGTTTTGTTATTCTCATCCCAAGGAGGAGGATGCAATGGTTATTAAGGGCCTTAGGCTTATAAATCTGGTTATAAAATTATTTGTGTTGAATCCAAAATTTTATGAATTCCAATGTTTTAATTCATGTCAGATTATTAGTTCTTGCGGCGTATTAGCTTATATCATTTGATCTGTTGTTCTAGACCATTCATTTTATTTAACCATTACATTTTTCTGCTCAATATTAATGCATGAAGGGGGAACCTTGCAGGCACAAATTGATCAGTCAAATGCTCAGGCGGGTGCACTGATTGCCAATCAGTTAGTTAGTGCTGTAATTTATCTATCTGGAAGACAGTTGAGAGCCCCAATTGACAATGTAGATGGACCCCTTGCAGATCTTCTCTCGCTGGAGCCATTTTCTGAGTCTTTGAAAGGTAAGAATAAAGACAATCTACCCAAGCTTGATGCTGCCAATATAGCCTTGGCGACACTTAAGGGAATTAAGGGCTTGACAGAACTTTGTTCTGAGGATACTATGTGCCAGAATAAATTGGCAGATTCTGGGGTCTTATGTTTGCTTAGACGATTCCTCTTATGCGATGACTATGAGCACTTGGCTGCAATTGAGGCTTATGATGCATCAAGGGACCTAGAAAAGCAAGACAGGGGTTCAAATATGACTGGTGAAAGATCTGTTTTAGATGCTAATGATCCTTCAAGCATACGCATTCCTGCAACTGCACACATTCGAAGGCATGCTGCTCGTTTGCTGACTGTACTTTCTCTTCTTCCCAAGGTTCAGAAATGCATTTTAAAGGATGAAGCTTGGTGCAAATGGCTTGATGACTGTGCTAATGGGAAGGTTTCTGGTTGCAACGATCTAAAAATTCAAAGCTATGCTCGGGCAACATTGTTGAATATTTCTTGCTCTAAAAAGATTGATGAAAACTCAGGGTCTGATAGTGGATGTAATTCAGGGGTAGAAGACCCAATGTGTCCTCAGTTCGATGACAAGATATTCTTTATAAATCCTGAAATTCCACCCTCGAACTGCTTTGACAATGAAAACTCAAGTAGGGAGAGCTCATCAGCTACAAGCAGAGAGTTTCCAGTACTTGATAAAGACAATGACTGTGAATACAATATGTTTGTCGAAAATTCAAATAATGTTTATTGTGCTGACAAAAATTCTCAAGCAGCGGCACCTTTAGTTGATGTTGTTTTTGTTCATGGATTACGTGGTGGACCTTTCAAGACATGGCGTATAGCTGATGACAAGTCGTCAACAACTAGCAAATCTGGCTTGATAGAGAATATTGATCAGGAAGCAGGGAAACAAGGAACGTGTTGGCCAAGAGAATGGCTTGCAACTGATCTCCCTAATGCCCGTTTATTTACTATAAAATACAAGGTTTGTGCTTTTCTATTGCCCTTTGCTTCTTTTGTTTCTTCTTTTTGTATTTTTTTGGTTATCTGATTGAATTGCAAGCCTAGAGTTCTTGGCATGGTGTGAACTTGTCCTTGTAGCAGCTGTGGTTATTTTAATTTTTCAAGGTCGTCTCCAGGTTGTGACCCTCTGAGGTACATGCTACCATCTAACAAAATGATTCATGCAGACAAATCTAACTCAGTGGTCTGGAGCTAGCCTTCCCCTTCAGGTGTGCTATCTTAGTTGCTTTTGTTGGAAATAAGAGAATTTGTTTTATTATATTTAATGGGCAGAATTGTCATTATCTCTGTCTTTGTTTAGGACTTATTTGTCTTATTTCACTGAGTAAGGGCAGTATTGTCCATAGAATATAAGTAGGTTATAACTTAATAGAAGTAAGAGGGGTGGAGGTCTCATGTGACTATCACGCTACTTTCTTTTTCTCTTTATCTCTCTATGTCCCACACGTTACTCTCTTCTCTTCTTTCTTATTTTATTTCTTCTCATTCTCTCTCTAAGATCTAATCTAATTGTTTTCTTCCCTACTCTCTCATTTCATTGTATAAGAATAATTTCAATTTGGTATCAAAGCAAGGTTAGGAACCTAGTTGTTGGGAGTGGAAGCAGGTGCGGGAGCCCGGGATTGGCACTTGGCTAAAGCTTCCTACCCTTGGAGCGTTTCTCAGGGAGCGACCTGGGAGCGTTGTTGTATA